CTCTCTCATCACTTGGAGAGGAATAGCGTGGATCCGAGCTGCAGGAGTCAGAAAAATTTGGAGTTTTGAAACTCGGTCATGCGTCTGAGATAAAAATGCTCAGTCACAGGCTGGGTGAACCCAGATTAGCAATAAAAACCAGGGAGACAAGAGTCATTGACTACTTTTCTGTGAGGGCTCAATGAAGAGTTGGGGGAGTGAGCTTTCAGCTCCAGGACTAGAGAACCGGGCTCCATCAGCACTGAAAGCCTTCAAGGAGGAAAACAGTGCCACAGAGTGGAGTCCAGAGCTGCTTACACCAAGCCCTAACTCCCTTCACACTGGAGGTACATTTCCACCAGGGCGAATGCCACTGAGAGTCAGTGCAACAGGCCTCCCCGCTAGAAGATCAACACAAACTATTGTCTCACACCAAGTTTACAGATCATAGAAGGCTGCAAAACTTCAGCTCTTGGGGGAAAACAGTATACAGCATTCTTGGTATTTTTATTCTTTAGGCTTTCAGTATTATTTTTTTCAGTTATTTTCTTATTTTTTTCAATTCTTTTAAATTTTGTGTTTATATGTACACATTATATACATATTTATTTTTTGTTTCCCATCATTGTATTTCACTTTATATTAAAAGTCTTTTTTTTTCTTATTTTTGGGTCTAGTTTTTAAAGTTTTTATTATTTTTTTCTATTTTTAAATTTTTATATTTATTTTTTAAATTTAAATTCAGTTAACCAAGGTATAGTACATCATTGGTTTTGATACAATGTTCAAAGATTCATCAGTTTACTATAACACCCTGTGCTCATCACATCATATGCCCTCCTTAATGCCCATCACTCAGTTACCCCATCACCCACCCACCTCCCTTTCTGCAACTCTCAGTTTGTTTCCTGGAGTCAAGAGTCTCATATAGTTTTTATCCCTCTCTGATTTCTTCCCATTCAGTTCCCCCCTCCCACCCCTATTGTCCTCTGCACTATTCCTTACGTTCCACATATGAGTGAAACCATATAATTGTGTTTCTCTTATTGACTTATTTCACTTAGCATAATACTGTCCAGTTCCATCCATGTTGATGTAAATGGATCTTGTTTCCTTTAACAAGCAGACTAAAACATACCCAGGATCTGGTTTGTTTTGTTTTGTTTTATTTATTTTGTTTTTGTCTTTGTTTGCTTTGTCTTTTTTTATTGTTATTATTGTTTTTTCTCCTCCTCTCTTTTCTTTTCTGGACAAAATGACAAGATGGAGAAATTCACCCCAAAAGAAAGAACAGCAGGTAGTACTCCCTGCCAGGGATTTAATCAATACAGATATAAGTAAGATGTCTGAATTAGAATTTTAAAATGATTCTAGATACTAGATAGGCTTGAAAAAAGCATGGAAGACACTAAGGAATTCCTTACCATAGAAATAAATGAAATAAAATCTGGTCAGTCCAAAATTAAAAATTCTATAACTGTGATGCAGTCCGAAATGGCCATAAAAATGAGGATGAATGAAAAGAAGAAAGAGTCAGTGCTATAGCAGATAACATGATGGAAAATAATGAAGCTGAAAAGAAGAGAGAAAAAAAACCCCATTAGATCACATAGAGAGACTTATTTCCATAAAGCAAAATAATAGCTGGATAGTAGGGGTCCCAGAAGATGAAGAGAGGCAGAAAGGGGCAGAAGGTTTATTTGAACAAATTATAGTTGAGAACTTCTCTAATCTGGGGGAAGGAAACAGGCATTCAGCTCCAGGAGGCACAGAGAACCCCTTTCAAAATCAATAAAAATAGGTCAACACCCCAACATACAATAGTGAAGCTTACAAATTTCAAAGATAAAGAGAAAATCCCGAAGCAGCTGGGGACAAGAGGCCCTGAACCTACAAGGGCAGACACATAAGGTTGGTAGCAGACCTGCCCACAAAGACCCGGCAGGCCAGAAAGGACTGGCATGATATATTCAACATGCTAAACTGGAAAGTATGCAGCCAAGAATACTTTATCCAGCAAGGCTGTCATTAAGAATAGTTGGAGAAGTAAAGAGTTTCCAGGAGAAACAAAAACTAAAGGACTGTGTGATCACTAAACCAGCCGTGCAACAAATATTAAAGGGATCCTGTGAGCTCGAAAGTAACAGAGAGAGAGAGAGAGAGAGAGAGAGAGCCCCAAAGTAGTAAAGACCAGAAAGGAACAGAGACAATTAACAGGAACAGCAATTTTACAGGTAATACAATGGCACTAAATTAATATCTTTCAATAATTACTCCGAATGTAAATGGGCTAAATGTTCCAATCAAAAGACATAGGGTATCAGATTGAATAAAAAAAAAAGACACATTGATGTGCTGCTTACAAGAGACTCATTTTAGACCCAGAGACACCTCCAGACTGAAAGTGAGGGGGTGGAGAACAATTTATCATGCTAATGGACATCAAAAGAAAGCTGAGGTAGCCATCCTTATTATCAGACAAACTAGATTTTAAACCTAAGACTGTAATAAGAGATGAAGAAGGACACTATATCATAAAAAAAGTGTTTATCCAATAAGATATAACAGTTGTGAATATTTATGCCTCTAACTTGGGAGCAGCCAAATATACAAACCAATTAATAACAAAATTAAAGAAACTGATTGATAATAATATAATATTAGAAGACTTTAATATCCCACCCATGAAAATGACAAATCATTGAAGCAGAAGAACAAGGAAACAAGGGCTTTGGATGACACACTAGACTAATTGGATTTCACAGATACATTCAGAGCATTTCATCCAAAAGCAACAGAATACACATTCTTCTTGAGTGTATATGGGACATTCTCCAGAATAGATCACATACTATGTCACAAATAAGGTCTCGATCAGTACCAAAAGACTGGGATCACTCCCTGCATATTTTCAAACCACAATGCTATAAAACTTGAAGTCACCCACATGAAAAAATTTGGAATGACCACAAATATGTGGAGGTTAAAGAACATTCTACTGTAGAATGAATGGGTCAACCAAGAAATTAAAGAAGAATTAAAAAATATTTTTTTTATCATTAAAGCAAATGTAAATGAAAACACGACAGTTAAATTCCTTTCGGATGCAGCAAAGGTGGTCCTGAGGGAAGTATATAGCAACACGGCAAGAGAAGTCTCAAATACAAGACCCAAACTTATACCCAGGAGCTGGAAAAAGATGAGAAAATAGAGCCTAAATCAGAAATAATAAAGATTAGAGCAGAAATCAATGATATAGAAATACATAAAAAAAGAACAGATCAATGAAACTAGGAGCTGGTTCTTTGAAAGAATTAGCAAGATTGATAACCCCCTAGCTGGACTTATCAAAAAGAAAAGGACCAACATAAATAAAATCATGAACGGGGCGCCTGGGTGGCTCAGTGGGCTAATGCCTCTGCCTTTGGCTCAGGTCATGTTCCCAGGGTCCTGGGATCGAGCCCTACATCGGGCTCTCTGCTCAGTGGGGAGCTTGCTTCCTCCTCTCTCTCTCTCTGCCTGCCTCTCTGCCTACTTGTGATCTCTATCTGTCAAATAAATAAATAAAATCTTTAAAAAAATAAAATCATGAATGAAAGAGGAAGGATCACAACAAACACTGAAGAAATACAATTATAAGAGAATATTATGAGCATTTATATGCCAACAAATTAGGAAATCTGGAAGAAATAGATAAATTCCTAGAAACATATAAACTACCAAAGCTGAAACAGGAAGAAGTAGAAAACCTGAACAGATCCAAAAGCAAAGAAATTGAATCAGTAATCAAAAATCTCCCAACAAACAAGAGTCTTCCTAACCCCAACCCTAATGCCTAAGAGAGAAATCACCATCTCCCTGGGCTGGGCCAAATATCATTGAGGCAAGACCTGCTCAGAGCAATTCAGAAGTCCCTTCACTAGACAGTGAGGAGGAACTTATTCCAGTGGACAGAGAGGCTCCCCGCTCTGCTGGTTTTGTTTAGAAGCCGGTGGCTGGCCACATACTTGCCCCCCCCCTCCCCACCCCCAGGTCATCAGCTTCCACAGAGAATAAGAGGAATCAGAGGCAGTACAGCCTGGGATGCTGTAATCAGGGTACACAGGAAGCCAGAGTCCTGTCATCCCTACCAGCCTGGGAGCTACTTCACCCAACTTCCAGATCCCACCCCCTTTCCAGGAGATAGAAAGTACAAATATCTTCCCTACTCTACATCCCAGAGTGGTTTTGAGGATGAAGTGTAAGTGGGAGGGTTTTGGAAACCAAAACGTGCTTTAACAATATTATTCTCATACCACTGATAGTATTGACCCAGTAAAGTTCATTCTCAACCCAACAGGCAAGTTAGAAATGAATATCCACCCAGGATGAATATCCACCCCCTTTCCTTCTCTGAGGGCCACAGGGTGCCTAATGCACAACCCAGCTTCCCAGGACAACAGCCGGCCAGACCTAGCTGTTCTGGAAGTGCACAAAATCCAGAACATGGTCTCCAAGGGGTTGAAGAAGGAAGCAAAAGTCTGGGAAGGAAAGCAAAGGATTTTCTAAGCAGTGACAGTCTGAGAATGCCCACCAGAAGCAACAGGGCAATCTCTCTGGTGCCCAGAAAAAATAGAATCCATGTGGGTGAAAAGCAACACAAACAAAACACCATACAGACAGAAACTGAAACCCAGCGAGCTTCTAATAACTAGAAGGAGCTTCTAGCAATCACCTGCCCCTCCAGCTGTTTAAGGGGCATGCAGGGCACAGATCCTGGCCCTGTCAGAGGAGGGACTGAGAGCCACCCTGAAACCCTATTGTGGCCTTTTCTCCTTTCCAAAAGGAAAAGTCCCAGAAAACAAATTCTTGGGGGCATTCCTTCTGTCTCAGGAATGAGTCTGCAGAGATTTCTTGAGGGAAAGAATCCCCTTTCCCTCCCCTCATGGAAGCTGGCATCCCCTTTGGCCCCCTCTTGCCCATATTATCCTCAGGGACCGCTCTGCCTTTGGGGCGTTGGGTAGGGCAGGAGGGCCACTCACTTGTCCAAGATGAAGTAAAGATCAAAATTACTCCGGCACTTTTTGGACTCGTCTATCCGGGTCTCCGGGAAATAGTGGCTCGGACCGCTGTTGGGTTGGAGGACTTTCCCATGTGGGCGGGGGTTGTGGTGTTGGCTTTTCCTGCTCTGACCGGGTTCATTCATGTCTCTGGAGGCCTTGATCGTGTGCAGGAAGCTTCCGGCTCTCAGCAGCGGAGGCGGCAATACCAGCAGCAGGAAGAGTGCAGGGCCTGGCAAACCCAGGCTGTGGCTCCCCATTTTCTGAGCCGCTCTCGCGGTGCTGCTGGATGCTGGCCACTTCAGGTCGCCTCAGGCTGCTGCCTCTGTGGACTCCTCCTGTGCCAAGGAGGACTCCGCCTCTCCAGCCCTTTCCCAAGACCCACTTCAAGCCTCCACCTGCTACCTGCCCTTTGGGCTGAAGAGGTAAGTGGCTGGCTCTGGGGCGATGGCCCCACTACCTGCGCTTTCCTTCCCCCGTGCCCCCAGGGCAGAAGGCCTTGTTATGATGGACAGGAGGGTTGGCATGGTGACTTTATGACCTGCCGCTCTGCTCAGTGTCCTGCCTTCTGACAACCCCAGGCAGGAGTCCTGGGATCTTTGGGTGGGAGAGGGGATGGGGTGGGATAAGATGAGGCCGCCATTTGTCTCTTATCCTAAACCCTCCAGGTGGCCATTAAAATCCTCAAGACCCTGCTTTTTTATAACTCAAAGGTGGCAGCTGAGGTGGCTTAGATGGGTCATCCCTGTGGGAGAGGAGGTCCAGGAGCTGGGAGACTAGAGTACAGTAATCATCATTGGTGTGAGCACTGAAGCCACCCATGGACATGGAAGGATCTAGAAGGTCTAGAAGGTGCAAGCATTCCAAAGTCCTTTGTGAATGAGGGACATTCTAGTTATCTACTGCTGTGTAACAAACCACCTGCAAATTAGTGATATAAAACAAGAACCATTTCCTAAATGCACAGTGTCTGTGGATCAGAAATGCAAAGAGGGCTGAGTGAAGATGGCTTGTCTCTGCTTCATGGAAAAACATGGAAAACCCATTTGCTCTTTCATATAAATTTTAGAAACATTATATAAATCTCATATAAATTTTAGATCTTCTTCTTCTTATCTTACTTTTCATTTTACTTACATTTCATATACTTACTTTTCATAAGGCTTGTGATTCTTCTAAATTGATTCTAGATAACTTTACACACTGTAGCCTCTGAGAACAGTAGGAGCTGATAATTGCCATGGGATATACTTTCAAAATATCCAGTTTTGAATTTAGATTGGCCATTGGCCATTTGTTTTGGTTGCCTGATCTTATGAAAAGTCTCCCAAAATTTTTAATACTTGATTACAGTAACACTGCAATTAATTAATTTAATTTAATTAACAAATTAAATTAATTAATTGCAGTGTTACTGTAATCAAGTTTAAAAATTTAATTAACAAATTAAATTAATTAATTGATCATTAAATGTGTAGATACTCTTTGGTCTGATTTGAATCTGCCATCAGGACTCCCAGTATCAGTGAACCTGGCAATGTCTCCATTTATTTATATCTTTTCCAGTGCCTTGGATATAAATTTCCCTATGAAGATCCTGTCTTTTTTGTCAAGTGCCTTCCCTAAATACCTTATATTTTTGCTCTTAATGTAAATGACATTTTAAAAATAAAGCTTTTAAACTTTTATTGGTGTTGTGGGGAGATGTATTAATTTATTGATTATTCATACAATTTGCTAAGCTACTTTATTCTAACATATGTCTGTAGAGCAGTTTTGGTTTCCATAAAAAATAGAAACCAAAGAAATTACTCTGGTTGCTTCTCCAATGCCATGTTGTCTGGAACCTATGATGGAGGCATTCTTGACTTTTACAAGAATACTTTTAATATATCAACGTGAAAAATACTATTTATGCTTAGTGAAATAAGTCAATTGGAGAAAGACAACTATCGTATGATCTCCTTGATATGAAGTGGAAGGCAACGTGGGAGGTTTGGGGGGGTAGGAAAAGAATAATGAAACAAGATGGGATCGGGAGGGAGACAAACCATAAGAGACAAAACAAAACTCACAAAACAAACTGAGGGTTGCCGGGGGGAGGGGGCTAGGGAGAGGGTGGTGGGGTTATGGACATTGGGGAAGGTATGTGCTTGGTGAGTGCTTTGAAATGTGTAAACCTTGCGATTCACAGAACTGTACCTCTGGGGCTGATAATACATTATATGTTAATAAAAAAATTTAAAAATTTAATTAAAAAAATTAAAAAAAATACTATTTATGAAAGGCTTTTGGTAGAAATTCTTTATCAGATTAGGCAGTTTCCATACTCTGCTTGGTTTGTTACAAATTATGCATAAATGATTAATTTTTCCTAAGAAGAATTAAATTCCTTTTCTGCATATTTTGTGATGAATATTTATTTTTCACCAGTAATCTATTCATATGATTAACTGCACCAATGCATGATAAAACTAATTTTAACATTTTATAAGCAAAACCTAATATGGCCATGGTAATTTTTTAAAACACTGTTTGATTGAGTTTATTATTAGTTTATAATTTTTAAATTTTTAACCTATAATCATGAGAGAAATCAGTTTATAATTTCTTATTTTTGTCCTGTCCTTATTGGGTTTGGATATTATGTAATACTAACTTAATAAAATGCACTTTGAAGTGTTTTACTTTCTTTTCTCTTGGAAAGACTTCGAATATGATCACCATAATCAACTCCTTGAATATTTGGTAGTATATCATCTGTGCCTGTTTTCTTCATGTGAAGTCGATAAACTACTCATATAATTTATTTAACATATACTGAATGTTAATGACTGAATTCTGTCCCTGTAATTAGAGATACAGTCTTTAAGAAGGTGATGAGGTTTAAATGAGATAATTAAGTGTGGGCCCTTAATCCCATAGGACAGGTGTCCTCATAAGAAAAGAAATGCCAGAGCTCTCTTCCCACGTACACACCAAGAAAGTGGCAACCTGTAATTTGGGAGAGAATCCACATCAGACGTCAACCCTGCTAACACTTTGATCTTGGACTTCCAGTGTCTAGACTATGAGAAAATAAATTTCTGTTGTTTAAGCCATCCAGCTTGTGGTATGTAGTTTCAGTAGGCAAAATAGACCAACACATTGCATTATTTAGTACTTCCATTTATTTTATAAGTCATTTTAGGTATCACATTTTCCAGGAATTTGGACATCTCTTTGCATATATTGGTATAAAGTTGTTCAGAAATATTTGATTTTTATATTTCTGCTCTATCTGTAGTTATATCTTCCTTATAATTCCTACTCTAACTTAATTATGTCTTTTCTTACTCTATGCATTCACAACAGGGAGGATATTGCCCCCATGGTGAGGAAAATTAGTCTTACTTTTTAAAAGTATGAAAAACAATACATCAAGAGTTACAGTGCCTGTGGCACTCCATAATTATTATTATTGTTGTTAGTTTTACCTCCTTTATCTCATGCAATTTATGTTTAAAAAGGCATTTTGTAGAATTTCCCACATTTTAGATTTGGTTGATTCTTTCCTAATCATCTCACTAACCTTTATTCTATCATCAAATTTCCTGTAAGCAAGTATTTAGGAACTAGAAGCTTGGTGAATCTCAGGTTCATTTTTGTTATGATATTGTTCTTCCTGCATTATATCAGGAGACACATGTTGTTTAATAGTTGCACTTTTAGTGATGCTATGATTGGTCAAATTGATTGGATTTGTGAGCCTGTTACCACCATTAAGTCCTCCAACAACATTTTATCTCATGGTTAAATCCCTTGACAACATTTTATCTGATGGTTAGAACAACTGTAGATAGATGTCTAAATCTTCAATAAGAGTTGCAAAATGGTGATTTCAAATTTTATTATTTCTTCTGCATTTATTAGCTGAGATTCTCTTTTCCCCAGTTTTATTTAAATATAATTGACATATAGCATTGTATAAGTTTAATGTTTACATTATAACAATTTGACATATATATTGTGAAATAGCAAAATAAATTTAGTTAACACCCATCATTTCATATAGATACAGAACAAAAAAGAAAAAAGAAAAAAATTTCCTGTGATGAGAATTATTAGAATCTACTCTTCGAACAACTTTCAAATATACTGTAAAGCACTGTTGTTCTTTACACCCCTATTACTTATTTATCTTATAACTGGAGTTTGAACATTTTGACCAACTTTATCCAGTTCTTTCTCCCATCTCTGCCTCTGGTAATCACAAATATGATCTCTTTTTCTATGTTTAAAATTTTTTTAAATTTCACATGTAAGTGAGATCATACAGATTTTTCCTTCTCTTTCTGATTTATTTCACTTAAAATAATGCTCTCAAGTTTCATCTATATTGTTGCAAATGGCAAGACTTCCTTTTTTAATGGCTGAAATATATATACATAATGGCTGAAATATATATACAAATATATATTTATATCTATATCTATATCTATATCTATATATCTATCACACAATTCCTTGATGACCACCTAGGTTGCTTGCATGTCTTGCTTATTGCATATAATGGAGCAATAAACATGGGGGTGCAAATCTCTTTGACTTAGTATTGTTGTTTCCCTCACATATTTTCCCAGAGGTGGGATTGCTGGATCATATAGTTGTTCTGTTTTAAAATTTTTGAGGAAATTTCATACTGTTTTACATTTTGACTATACAAATTTATAGTCCTGCCAATAGTGCACAAGGGTCCCCCTTTTCCCACATCTTCATCAGCATTTGTTATCTCTTATTTTTTTGATAATAGCTATTCTAACAAGCATGAGGTGAAACATCATTGTGATTTTTTTTCTTTTTTAAAATTTTCTTTTCAGTATTCCAGAATTCATTGTTTATGCACCACACGCTGTGCTCCATGCAATACGTGTCCTCCACAATATCCACCACCAGGCCCACCCAACAACCCCCCGCTACCTTCCCCTCCAAAACCCCTCAGTTTGTTTCTCAGAGTCCACAGTCTCTCACGGTTCATCTCCTCCTCCAATTTCCCCCAACTCACTTTTCTCCAACTCTCCACCTCCTCCATGTTATTCCTTATGTTCCACAAGTAAGTGATCCATATGATAATTGACTCTCTCTGCTTGGCTTATTTCACTCAGCATAATCTCTTCCAGTCCTGCCCATGCTGATACAAAAGTTGGGTATTCATCCTTTCTGATGGAAGCATAATACTCCATTGTATATATGGACCATATTTTCTTTATCCATTCATCCATTGAAGGGCATCTTGGTTCTTTCCACAGTTTGGTGGCTGTGGCCATTGCTGCTATGAACACTGGGGTACAGATGGCCCTTCTTTTCACTACATCTGTATCTTTGGGACAAATACCCAGTAGTGAAATTGCAGGGTCATAGGGAAGCTCTATTTTTAATTTCTTAAGGAATCTCCACACTGTTTTCCAAAGTGGCTGCACCAACTTGCATTCCCACCAACAGTGTAAGAGGGTT